GGTCTCTCCATGCCAGGCATTGCGCGGGCGACAGCCGGCCTGTCACCAGACCTGCCGGCACTGGACCACCATCGGGGGACGGAAACGCCCGTTCACAATCGAGAACAAATAATCGTAGACATATGCATTGAGGCCATCACACAAGCCGCTGCAGTAGCCAAAAACACGAGGGCCCTACGCACAGAAACGACAGCGGCGGGACGCCACAACTACCAGCCAGGGGATCCCTTGGACTATCATCGCCCGACCACTACTAAGGACGGTTCGGGAGGTCGGAACCGACCACGCCCCATCGCTCGTGATTTCCCTGACCGTGGTCAAGCAGTAGTGCTAGTTGGAGGTCTGGAAGCCTTGGTACAATACCCAGACTTACGTCGCACACTATATATCGAAGTACTAATGGCCCGCGATATAGGCTCGGGCACTACGGCCATGCGAATAGCATTGCCCTTATCGCGCGCCTGCCTGCAGGGGGACCTGCCGCGGTCTTCGGCAACCTGCCAACCGAGCAGGGGCACCTGCGGATGACCGCGGCGAGTCGCCTCTCGCCCGAGGTGCGCTTAGCCCTGCAGTTCCTCATCGGAGAAACTACTTCAGGATAGAAGACGTTGTAATTGTACGTTTGGCCAAAAGCATTCACAGGTGACCGGCGGCGCCCTGCGCTGACAGTTGCGCCCTGGCATGCCGCGACGCTGGCAATGCGCCAGGTTCTCATTTCTCTGAATGGTCTGAATGAGGAGGCGCCGCTCTCAATCGCAGGCGCCGTGCTCGCGCGAGTCATTCAGCGCTTGAAGTTATCGAAACTTCCAGCAGGCGTTGATCGGGATCTCTCAGAGTTCGAGGGCCCGGTGGACGCGCCAGCGACGGGCGGCCGCGCCCAAGAGGAGGATAGACGTCCGGCGCAGACCGCCCTTGACAGTGGATTGCCACTATTGCTGAAGAATCAGAAACGGACTGGGGCGCGCATATCATGGACGCGTGGCATGTTGAGCTCCAAAAGGAAACGCAATTACACGAGACCCCCTTCATGGGGGCATGTTCGGCACGCGTCGAGATGGCGCACCGACAACCGCGCACTCGCGGCCGCGGCCAGCGAAGAGCAAGGACACTTGCGAGAAACAGGTTCTGCTCGGAAGCACGATGCCGACGGAACTTCCTCGGCCTTGGACTACTGAGTACGACGAGACGTATGATCTGGACTCTGGCGACAACGGCCGGTATGTCGAGCTGTGCTTCACTGCTGACATGGCCACGGCGGTCTTATCAGAGCCACATGTCGAGTCACCGCGCTGCGACCAAGCAACCGCAACGCGCGCGCATGTCTCGGCCGCGGCAGAATGAGCTGCAGTCGTCAAAGGAGACGATCTCGCGAGGAGGGCAGATGCACAAGCCAAGCCGACAAGGATATGTAAGGCCTTGTGCGCCGAAGTGAAAATATGGCACGGTAACAAATGCCTCAAGCTTTAAGACACCAAGAATGCCATTAATTTCAGGACCCATAGACACGCGCGCGTGCAGGGGGGAGTTTTTCAAGGGCGACAAAGGCGAGATGAAACGGACAATGCGACCACGCCTTGTCCCCTTTGTTTTTCTCGATGGGCGCCGAGGCAAAAGACGTAGAGACCATCTCGCGCGCAGCTGGACGAGCAAGCCAGAGACCGCTCGCGAGCGCGGCCGCGTGCAAAAGACAGTGGATCATAGCATCCATGGATATCAACGAGGCTTTGGTGAAGGGCGTGGCTTACCGCGAATTGGTAGAGGCCGCCGGTGTGAAAGAGCGCGCGGCATGCTTCGCTCTTCCACCTGGTTCTGCTTCGGCACTGCGTGCACTTCCCGTTTTCTCGTCTTGCGACGAGTCAGGGCACTGTCTTGAGCGCCTTAACCAGGCGCAGGCACCACAGGCGCCCCTAGCGCATTCCCACCTAGGCCCAGACCCATCACGCAAGTTTCGGACTGCAGCCCGCACCGTTCGATGAAGAATTTGTGACAAGCCCAAACCTCCTGACGTCCAAGCACGCTGGCGAGATTGACATGGCAGCAGCGGAGCAAGTCTTCGACAAGTGCGGCGAATGTGTAGACGGCACGTTCGGCGCATGCAAATTGAACGAACACCGCTGCGCCACTTGCGCCACCCGATGCACTTGCGCCACCAGCTAGATCCGGGTGAGCGCGTCAAACAACCTCGCCCGACGCAGCGCCCAGAATTCACGCGCGTTGTGGCGGAAGAGAATGCTGCGAGGACCGCGCCCGACATGTTCATCAGTTCACGTGGCGCTTAGCGCATGCATTGATCATCCAAGCGTGGTTAATGGTTTACGCGGCACCGTTACAGCGCGCGCAGGAACCTGCGAACTTCCAAGTGCAAAGACTTAGCGCCGCCACGCGCAAACTGCAACCTGGCCCGAAGAAAAACAATCCTAGACCAGTTTATGACCCCGATTAGTGGAGCTTCAGAGTGACCCAGGATATCGCCGCCTCAATGGGGGCGAAGATTGCGACGTGAGGGGGGGGGGGGGGGGGGGGGGGCATCCGAGGCGCCAACCTTTCACTGCGTGGACACGCGCCCAACGGTGAAGCAGTGGTACATCTGACTGAGGCACGCTGCAAGACGCACCGCTTGCAGGTGCGAGCCAGCTACTCAGTTGAAAAGTTGGCAGCCGCTCGTGATCTTGAGGGCTGTTATCCTACCATAGTTACGCTACATAGCTGGGCCCCGGGGCCCCCCCCCCCCCCGCCTTGTGAAAATGCATGGAGTCAGGTGGTCTCGGCATCAGGGCCATCCTTGCCACAGACGCTGAGTCGGTCTTCGAATCCTTGTCAAGTAAGGACCTGAAGAAGCCGACTCGCTGCCCTTTTGGGGCGGATCAGTTGGATAAGGCAGATGATGGGCCGAGGTGCTGTTCCTGGCGCACAGTGGTGTGATACAAGAGATATGACCTTTGGTGGCCATGCAAAAGGGCGCATCGATCGCGCGTGGCTGCTGCAAGTGACGGAAGGAAATCAATCCTTCAAGTGCGAAGTAAAGAAGTACGTGCCTGCGAGAGGCAAGCAATACACAGCGCCAACATAAGGGGCGCCCTATTCAGGGCCAGCGGACACCTATCTGGACGACTGCCCAAACTTGGACACGCAGTTACCATTGCTCGTACACGGGCGTGTATACCAATACGCCCGGGCACAGGCATGCACACTCAAAGCGTCACAGCTGCCGCGCGTGCCGGGGCACAGGCATCACTCCTACTTTAAGAGGGGATGCGACCGTTGGGTCATGTCCCTCGACCGCTGCGCGCTTTGACGGCTGGCATTTGGCCAGTCGCCCGTCCTTTAATTATCTGCGGATGGTCATGCGGACTTGCCCGTGGCCATCCCAAATCCTATGTGGCTGGTCGTGGCAATAGGCCATGTTCAACCGTGAGACTCGACGCTGTTATTGCTGTAGTTGCTCATGCACTGTTGGGGATGTGTATATACATATACATACATGCATACATACATATATATATATATATATATATATATATATATATATTAGATGTATCCTTCCTCCATCTTTACCTTATGCACTTAACTCTGACAAAGATCTAGCGTTCGGCCCCGCCCCGCCCGATTTTTTCACGAGGTCGAAGGGGAGGCTGCGTAGCGAACGCTACATCCGACGCTGTCTTGGCTCGAGGCAGCGCTGTCATATTTGCTAGTCGCACCGACGTGGTTGACTAGTTATTGGGGTCGTAGCGTCGGACACAGGCCATATCGATTTATGTTGCCCCTCCATCCCACGGCTTTTCTTTGACCTCCCAACACGCTTGCCATCGAAGGATGAGTTGCGGGATACCTCGATACGTCGCCGACGTCATCCTAAGAGTCGGGCTCTCAGCTTATTACCTCATGGACCCGCCTTGCACCCCTTACGTCTCGTTCAGCTATTATGCCATGTAGCGAAGCGAGCGCAAGAGAAATCTTGCGCCCCGTCCACAAGCGCCCCAAGTTTGCGCAAAGCAGCCGTTGTCTTTTTCAGCGCAGAGCAGAACAGATGCGCGAATCCACTTTTACCGTAAGAGGAGAGGTGGAAAAGGAGCAGCTGACGGAGATGAGAACGTATGATCTGGTTCGGAGCACGTGCGAAAACACATCAGCAAGACGAACGACTCGGGAAACTGATTCCGGCCGTCATGGTTCAAGTATTCATGCTGTTCTCGGTGATACGATGGGGCGTGCGCGGCTGGATTTCGATTGGTTTCCACGAGGGAAATTGTAAATCCATCATTCGTGGGGCTTTTGTTTGCTGGAGTTTCTTAGAGGCCATGTGGGGGTTGCTTGGGGAGTCTCACGAAGGGCAGTCGTTGGCCGTCTTGGGGGCACATTGAGGCCCCGGAAGCCTCGCGGAAACACAAGGGCGAGAAAGTGTACGTCAAAACGCGGTTCTTGTTGGTTGATGAATGTTGCCTCTCGCTGGCATCGCGGCAGGTTGTGAGGCCATATCGATGTCTTTATCTTGCGATCATGGGAGGTGGGAGGCACGCGGGAAGCTGACGTGGGTTGGTTCGGAACCAATCATGTCATTTTGGGGGCTATACTGGGGTACTTGGAAGCCACCTCGACGACGAACCCCGACGATTTTACGTTTTTTAGAATCGACGGCCCTGGAGTTTGCGCCGTTGCACGGCCGATATATCGGCGGCGCGGTGCCGTTGCGGTGCCAGCCTCCGACACCGTCTGCTCTTGGCCCCACCTGGGTTGCTTCAGGACGCCAGAGGAGGGCGAGGCCGAGGCCAGGACCACCCGGCCGCGGTCAGATCGAACGCGGGGGCGAGGGCGAGACCGAACGCGAGCGCGAGCGCGGCCAGGGCGAGAGCGCGAGGGCCGTCCGTCCTGTGGGGCACGGCGGCGGGCTCTCGAAAACCGCGCTTCCGCGCGCGGGGGCGCTGTCGTCGCCGTGTGTGTGGTCGTGACCGTCGTCGTCGTCATCGTCGAGGCGGTGCGGGAGCGCGCCGGCGCGCCAGTGTCCCCCGGCGGCAGGACGGCCAGCAAGGCCCGGCGCCACAGAGCGAGGCTTGCCGGCGGGCGGCGGCTCTCCCACAGCGGCGGTGGTGGCGGGTCTGACTCGGGCGGCGGTTGCGGTGGGTTCGGCTCGGGCGACGGCAACGGCAGCGTCGGCGGCGGCTTCGCGGCTTCGGCGACAGCGGCGACGGCGACGGCGGCGCGCGGGGGGAGCGAGGAGGGAGCGGGTGGGGTGGGTGATGGGGGAAAGGGGGAGGGCGAGGCGGAGGGAGTGGTAATGAGGAGGAGGAGGAGGAGGAGGAGGAGGAGGAGGAGGAGGAGGAGGAGGGCATGAAGAAGGAGATGAGCAGGAACACGAGGGAACCGTCAGAACGAGGAAAAGCAGGGGGAGGGGGAGTGGGAGTGGGACGGGGAGGGGGGCGAAGGAAGGAGGGAAGGAGGGACGATTAACATAGAACGAGGCAGGCTGTAGGGAGCCAGTGGGGAGCAGCGAGAAAGGAGGAGGAGGAGGGAGGAAAGAAGGAAAGAGGAGGGAGTACGATGAGAGGAATGAGAATGAGAGAGCGAGAGGGAGGGGACTGGCAAGCTAGGTGCGCGCGCCATATCTGACATCACCCCCACCCACCAATCCGTTCCCATTGCGCTGATGTTCCATCTATGGGCCCGCCGTGTGTCCTAGTGGACCTGGATCCCCAGCATGACCCCATCGTGCCATGCGCAATATGAAACGAGAGCCGTGCACATTACATTGGAGGAGGGGGGGGGGAGTTGGCGGTTGAGCGCCAGGAGGAACAGGAGGAAAAGGAGGAGGAGGAAGGAGGGAGGAGGGAGGGAGAGCAGCGGGAGCAGCAGTAGACGGAGCGGGAGGCGCAGGAAGACCAGGGGAAGGCGCAGGAGTGGAAAAGGAGGGGGGCGACAACCACGAGGAGGGAACGGGATCCAGAAGTGCAGCCCGCGCTGGGGCGGGAGCGCCCTTCTGAACGACGGGGGCCGAGAGTTGATCTAGAAATGTTGCCAGCGTGGCAGAGGGAGCACCACTTTGAAACATAGAGACAGTCCGAACTCGACACAGCAGGAATGCGACGCATCACAGTTTAACAAATCCTGCGTGTGAGAAGCAGAAGAGGGGCGGGATCCTTGTTGCACATTGTCAGAGGAGGGGAATATCAGAACACAGTTCGAGTCATTGTGGAAACGGGCAGCAGGGAACAGAAGCGGATCATTGTTTCAGAAACAATCACAATCAGAGGTACAAGGGAGCAGAAGCGGAGGAGGAGAAGGAGTTGATGGAGGAGGAGGAGGAGGAGGAGGAGGAGGAGGAGGATCGAAGAAAAAGGTTGTAGAACGGGCAGAGGAGCAGCATGATAAGCAGGGGGAGACAGAAGTGGATGACGATGGGGAGAAGGAGGTGGAGGAGGAGGGGGAGCAGGAGGAGAAGGAGGAGGAGGAGGAAGTGGAGAAGGAGGAGGTGGAGGAGAAGGGCGAGTTCGATGGCAACGGTGAGAATGGACCTGGACGAGGACGGACGACGACGACGACTAATACGAGGGCGAGATTCAGGTCAAGGACGAGGAGGATAGGGGGTGAACGAGGAGTAGGTAGAGGAGGTGAAGGATGGTATCCGCCGCCCCCTTTTCGGCGACAACCTCCGAGAACCTCCAGGCACCTCGGAGAGCCTCCGAAAACTTCGGACAACTGCGACAACCGTCGAATGCATAATCGAAGATATTCGAATCTTTTTGAAGCTCGTCGACGATGGCGACGACAATGGGCTGCAGTCAGGGAAGAGGGGATCGAGGGAGTAGTAGCGTGGAGGGATCGCCGCGGCAGTGAGGAGGCCTCGGCGGGCGCCCGCAAAAACCTGGGGACGGGGCGGACTCTCTGCTTGAAGGCGACGGGGGAGAAGAACGGAGCGGAGTGAGTGGGGGCGCAACGTCTTCCAGCTTAGAACGCGTTGTAAATGGACAAACACGAGTTCAGAGCCCCGAATCATCAGGGGTAACTCGGGTCAGGGCTATCTCGGGTTCGTTTTTCGGGAATCCGAACCCGAGTTATCCCTGACCCGAGTTACCCCGGATAGTTCGGGCGTCCAGAGCCCCGAATCATCAGGGGTAACTCGGGTCAGGGCTAACTCGGGTCCGTTTTTCGGGAACCCAAACCCGAGTTACCCCGGACCCGAGTTATCCCGGATGATTCGGGCGTCCAACGAGTCACGAGTGCTGTGTCTGCGCTTTGCGCCTGTCTGAGAAAGCTCTCCTCACTGCTTGCCGCAATTCCACCGACGCCCAGGGGAGCGCTCGGGCCCAGGGGGGCGGAGGGAGGGGGATGAGGGAGGGGGAGGAGGAGGCGGATGCGGAGGTTGACGAGGAGAGGACGGAGGGGGAGGCCCGGATATCTGGCGCCTTGGACAAGTCGGGGCGGCCCGTCTGTCGCCACATTTGACCTTTGCATGCCAGTTTCGGGATTCGGGCCGTTGAACAAAAAAACAAAACAAACTACTCTGGAGGGAAAGTTGGCCCTTGGAAAGTGGTCGAGAGGTCATGGAGGCCGCGTATCGAACAAGTCGAAGCGCAGGGATGTTAGTGTAATGAGGATGGAGGTCCGAAGATGCAGGTATTGGGCATTGTGTCTGTTTCTGAATCTCCAAGGAGGCTTATCGCCACCACAGTTGGGCCTCCCTCGTTTTCGTCAGAACGCACCCCAGGAGAGGGCCAGGTGGTTGACTCTTGAGAAGGGGAAGATACAAGTGAGGAGAAGGAAAAGGAGGGGGGAGATGGAAGCACAGGGAAGGATACAAATGAGAAGGTTAGATGGGATGAGGAAAGTTTGGAGGCAAGACGGACAAGTTGGCAATTGATCCGACACAGATGGAATGCGAGGCGCTTTCAGGATGAACTGGTGACCTCGAGGACCTCTTGGATTGCAAATGAACCACCGTTCCAATTCTGACCTGCTCATATTGGTCGCAGTTTTCTGCTACGCGAAGGTATTTGTCCAATAATAGTTACGGGATCATCAAAAGATATCGGACAAACAACGTCCGATGCATAGTCAGGCATGCATCCATGGTGGCAGAAAGGCGGTCTTCATGTGTAATTACGAGTCACGAGGCGAGCCAACGTTCCGCAAAGTGATGAGTTGTTGAGCGATCCGACACAGACGAGATGTGAGGTGCCTTCGGGTGTCGGGGTGAACTTGTAGCCTCGAGGGTATGTTGTGTTGTTGGTGAACCACCTCTCCAATTCTGATCACCTCAAGTTGGCCATTTATATTGGATCAGACATGCATCCATGGTAGCAAAAAGGTTGTTGCTTTATCTAATCACGCGTCAAGGGGTGCGCCCATGCTCCGTGTAGTGATGAGTTGGCAAGCGATTCGACACATATGAGATGTGAAGTGCCACCTTAAGGGTGAACTCGTGGCTCGAGAGTGTGTTATCTTGCCAGTGTGAAGTGATGAATTGATAAGCGATCCAGCACGGATGAGATGTGAGGCGCCTTCGGGTGTCTTTTTCGGGGTGAACTGGTGGCCTTGAGGGTCTGTTCTGTTGCCAGTGAACCACTGCTCCATTTCTGATCGCCTCATGTGGGCGATTGTATTGGATAGGTTGAGGCATGCATCCATGGCAGCACAAAGGCTGCTGTCTTGTCGAATCACGCGTCACGAATTGAGCCAATGTTCCGTGAAGTGATAATTTGGTAAGTGGTCCGACACATATAGATGAGAGGTGTTTTCGTGTGCCACTTTCAGAGTGAAGTAATAACCTCGGGGTTCTGATCAAGTGCCACTGAACCACTGTTCCAATTTCTAGACGGTTTGCGTATCCCCTCCAGTTCCGTAGCCTTCTGGCTCAAGCCGTTTCCGGGGAGTGTTCCTCCCTCCGGGCCTCCGGGGTCTGGGCTCGAGCGCGCCCCGAGCCAGCTGCGGGCCCGCCCGGCGCCGATGGAGTCTGCCGCGGCGCGTCGCCGGTGGCACCAGGCGGCCGCCTGGGCGGCTCGCGTCGCGGGCGCTGTCCGCCCCACGGCCGCTCCTGGCGTGACCGGCGCCGCCGGTGCTGGCGCCGCTGGCGCTGCCAGCGCTCCCCGCGCCGCGGTTGCCGCGGGCGCCGCCGGCGCTGCTGGCGCCGCGTGGGCCGTTGGCGCCGCCGGTGCCGCCGCGGCGCCTCCGGGCCTGCCCGCCAGCGCGGCGGCTGCCGCGGCCGCCGCAGGCGCTGCCGCCGCCGCTGCCGCCGGCTGCGCGGCTGGCGCCGCGGTCGCGTGGCTCGGGCTGCCGCGCTGGGGCCCGCGGCCGCGCTCGCCGCTGTCGCCGCTGCCGCTGCCTCGGCCGCCGGCGCTGCCGCCGCAGCGGCGGCGGCCGCCGCGGCCCACTGCGCCCCGACCGTGCATGGGCCTGAGCGGGAGCTGGAGCTGAGGGAGCTTGAGCGGGAGCTGGAGTAGGGGGCGGCGGCAACCAGGACGCGCGCGCCCCCCTTGCGCGCGCCTGGGCAGTCCGACTGTGGAGGTTGGGTGAGCCTGGCGCGGGCCCCCCGTATCATGAGACGGTCAGTCGCCTATTTGGAGACAACTGACAGAGGACACTTGCGACGATTAGTCGCCTACCTGGCGACGATGCCCCCCTCCTCTTCTCCTCCCGTTTCACAGAGATATTTGCGACGATCAGCCGCCTACCTGGAGAAGACTCGCGCGGGACATTTGCGAATATCAATCGCCCACCTGGAGACGCTGTTTCCCCGTCCTCCGCCCCCCCCCCCACGTTTCTCAGAGGAAATTTGCGACGATCAGTCGCCTACCTGGAGACGGCGCTCGCCCTTCCTTCCCCTGTTGCGCAGGTGGCCTTCGCGACGATCAGTCGTCTGCCCGGAGACGGCGGCCCCCATCGCGGGGGAGGTGGGGGAGGGCGGTGCCGCGCAGCCGTTGTCCTGGAGCGAGCAAGGCCCCTCTGCGCCGTCCGCCATCGGCGGCTGTCCCTGCACGAGCGCGCCCCTCCAGCGCGGGCCTGGCCAGTCCGACGGCGAAGTTCCATAGGGGCGGGCCCAGCGCAGATGTCGCTGGCGCGTTCGCTGCCTCGCGCGAAAGTCCTGGCGCAGGTGATTCCACCGGTCGCGCTTGCGCGGCTCCCCAGACGCTTTGTGCCCCAACCCGAGGGGCGCTAAACCCCGCGGCCCCCCTGAGCCCCGAGATGCCTGGCAGCGCGGGAGCGCGGCGGGGCGGGCCGGCGGGCTCGCCTGGGGCGCCGCCCGGCGCCTTGTCCAGCACCGCCGCCGCCCGCGCGGCCGGGGTGGAGGCGGCGGCGGGGGGGGGGGGGGATGGCCCCGCGCAGGGGGCGCGCGCTGGCCGGCGCCTCGACGGAGACCTGGAGGACGCGTTGGACCCGCGCGGCAGAGCCCCGCCATCCGCGCTGATCGGCCCAGGGGCAGAGCAGGCGTTGGAGCAGAAGCTGGGGGCGCCAGACGAGCAGGAGCAGGCGGCCACCCGCCCGCGCACTTCCTCGACTGGCCCCCCAGCCCGCGGCAGCGACGCGCGGGCGGGCGCGCCCCATCTTGACGCCGCCTTCCCTTCCAACAGCGCGGGCCCCAGCGCCGAGGAGCGGCGGCGCCGCGGTCAGCGCGGGCCGCTGGCGCGTCTGCCTGGGCGCGGCCGGCGCCGGGCTGGGCCCCGAGAGCCGGCAATCTTTCAGCCCCCTCGTCGCTGTCCGCGGGGCGTGGCCTGGCGCCCGGCAACGTCGACGGCTCGGCGAGGTCCGGCAGGCGGCAGACGACGGGCGGCGAGCACGGCGGCAGCAGCAGCGGCAGCGCCTGGAGCCAGCGAGCCGCCGCGCCCGACGGGGGCGGGAGGCCCGCCGCCCGCCAGCGGCCTGAAACCCCGGGCCCCGACGCGGGAAAGCAGTTTTACAACGCCACGGTCGAAGGCGCGCAGCGGGGCGCGCGCGGGGGGCCCCCAGGCAAAACGATCGAGCGACTCCAGGTCTCCAAGTCACCCCGGGGGCGATGCCCACAGGCGCCCGGCGCGCGTTCGCCCAAAAGCACGTCTCGCCCAGCTCCAGAGCTGCGCTCGGCCCGCCCCGGCACGACCAGCAAACGTGCTTTTAATTTCTTGGACTCCTTCCGCCACCGCAAATGAGGCGCGCGGTCCATGGGCGACGCGCTGAACCTCGGGGTCGATTGGACACAGCTGCGCGAGCGGCGCCTGTGTCGCGGCGATGGCGCGGGCAAGGAGGGCGCCCCACGGCGGCCACGAAACGCGGGGGCGGAGCATTCTCGGGCCCAGCGTCGCAGCCGGAAGGGGCCCTGAAGGACCAGTTTTTGGTCCAGCTGGCGCCGCCCCGCCGTCGCAGCAGCACTTCCACCGCGAAGCCATCGCCCGTGGACCTGTCTCGCAGCTCGCAGCCGCCCTAGCTGCGGGCAGCCCGACGCGGGCAGCCCCCGGTCGCGCTGCAGCTCCACGCCGACGAGAAGTGGGCCTTCTCCCTGCTCAGCATGCGCAGTCAGTCTGCCTGCGCTTGCCCCCGCCCGGGGGGCTTCGGACCTGCCCGCTAGAGGGCGCGGAGCGGCCGCGGCCTGGCCGACCGCCGCTTCTCCCTCGCACAGCAGTTCTTCGCCGCGTTGTCGTTGCCCGACTACGCGTTCTACTACCTGGGGGCCTGGGGGCCGTTTGTCTCCTCGGTTTCGCTTGGCGCGTTTTCCTCGCGTTGACCACGCCCGTCTCTCGGCGTCGTTCACGCTGCTCCTGTGAGGTTGCCCGCTCGTTTCTCGATGTCTGCGATGGCCGCGAGGATTCAATGACTTCGAGTTCGGCAAGCTCGCCTGGAATAGGTTGGTGACGCCAGTATTCGTCAAGTGCGTCTTGGGGGGCCGAGTTGCTGACTTCTCAATGTGCGCGGTCGCTCTCCCACTTCGTACCTTCGCAATTAGTCTGCACCTCAGTGGGCACGCCCTGCCTTGCCTTGTACCGCAGTTCTGACTGACGCGACTCTGATGTTGATTCGTGATGTCTCCTGCGCCGTTTTTGCCGCCTTGAGCCCAGTTCCGTTCTGAGCAGGGCGCCGCTCGCTTCTCTGTTTTCCCCTTTGCTTCGGCGCGGCCCGCCTTAGCTTGCACGGCGTGCGACTCGATGTCGCGCGCCCGCGCGCCAAAAAAACGCACCCCCGCCAGCCCATCCAGAAACGATGCCCAGGCGAGTTGAGGTGATCAGGGAAGTGCGAGAGCAAAGAGGGGCACGGCCGAACCGCGCGAAGGGGGAAGGAGGCGGAGAAGGAGGAGGAGGAGGCCGGATGGATGGATGAGGGAGTGGGGAGAAGAAACATGCGTAGGATGAGGAAAAGGACGAGGAAGAGGAGTAGGAGGAGGATGGAGGAACAGGAGGAAAAAAAAGGGCAGCCAAAAGGGTCAGAGGTCTCTTGGATGCCTCTCGGAACCGCTCGGGATATCTCTTGGGCGTTTCTTCGTTGCCTTTTGGGGCGTCATGGGGGCATCCTGGCGGTCCTGAGGGGTTTTTGGGCGTCTTGGGCGCATCGGGGAAGGCATCTTGGGGCCGCTTGGGGGCCTCCGTGGGTCCCCGTTGGGGCCTTTTGGGGCCATGTTAAGACAATTTTGGGGCCTCTTGGAGCCTCTTGGGGGCCATCTTGGAGGACACCGATCAAAGGAGGAAATGGTCGCAATGCGCGTTGCCCCCCCCGAGAGGCCAAATCGGTGCCAAAACTTGCGTTCGTAAAACCAGCGAGTTTGGCTTCCTCGCCAATTTGGACGCCCTGACCGCTCGCCGCCCCCCCCCCCCGTCCAGTTCCAGGGGGGGGAAGGGGGGAGGAGCAAACCCCTCCCCGACGGGAGTGAACGGGGTGGAAGAGGAAACTCCCTAAACCATTTACGCCCAGAGGGCTGGCGGGATTTGATCTGCGCAGTTTGACCACAGGTCTTTGTTTTCTGAGGAGTGCTTTTGCGACAACGTTGACGCGCACCGCTGGACCAGCATCGGATCAACAAATATTCATTGTGACGTGCCAAATTGACACCGTGCGGGTAAGATGCGAGAAACCGTGAAGTGTGATTTGCGGGGTGAACCAATAGCCGCAGGGCTCCCACGTCATCCCCGTCATTACCCTCATCCCCTTTCTCTCTTGCCTCATCGTTTTCAACATCATATTCGTTATCATCGTCCTCATCCTCGTCATCATCCGCTGCCCCGAGGCATCGCAACAGATGGTCCCCAAGTTGTGCGCCCTCCGCTTTTGCTACCCACTTGCGCTTTGCTTGAATGTCTGGTGATGGCTGGGAAGACGGATTAGGTAGATGCATACCGATTGGTCACGTGAAAGTGACGGTTGTGGAGGAATTTAAAGATGCGAAGATGGGGAAAGGGGCGGTGGAGGGACGGAGGAGCAGGATGAGGTTGCGGAGGAGGACAAGGATTCGTAGGATGAGAATGATAACTTCCCAGGACATTGAGCAGGATGAAGCCGCGGGCGGAGAAGAGGTGAAGACATACGAGAATAAGGAAGGATATTGCGAAGGCCTTACGGCCGGTGCCGCCGACCCTGAAGACGAAGCTGTCTGTGACGCCGTGAAGGCCGAAACGTCGTATATGCTAGAAATGTGAGTTTCCGATGGAAAAGTAATGAGTGTGGCCTCTTGGGGCCTTCTTGACGTGTTGGAGGCTTCTTGGACGGTCTTGGGGCTATCTTGGGCGTCTTCGGCCGATCTTTGGGCGACTCGGGGCACTCTTGGGCCGTCTCAGGGGCCATCTTGGGCATTCGGACCTCATTTGGAGTGTTTTCGAGGTTTCGAGGCCGCCCGAGGAAAAACGAATCTGCCCCCCCACCCCCCCCCTCCACCCCCCCCGGGACCCCCCCCCCACCCCCCCCGGGACCCCACCCTTGGGGAAGGGATCAAAGGGAAGGGGCTTCCCTTCGAATCGACAACGGCATGACGGTAGGAGGGTACGGCCCAAAAAGAAAAAAGGGGGAAGGAAGAAGGGGGGGCGGCGAGGAACGGACGAGGAAGCCCCTCGCACACGCCGACAGGGTCGGCGGATTATGCATGAAAAGGAGAGGAGGGGAGGAGGAGATGCGATGGAGGAATAGGGTAGGGAACATGTTGCTAAGGAGAAGTGGAGATGAGGGGGAGGGACAGGGCTGTGTGAGGAGGACGAAGATTTGGAAGATGGGCAGGCACGTACAACAGGGGTACAGGAAGGGATGGAGGCGGACATGGCGAATTGGCCAGATGGAGGGATGGTAACCAGTAAGGGATGCACGCTCGATCTGAGCGTCCGGTCGTTGTTGGTCATGAGCGTTTGCCCCCCCCTTCTCGCTTTTGAGCGCCCCGCAAAACACACACACACACACACACACACACACAGACACACACACAGACACACACACACACACAAACACGCGCACGCAGGCGCACGCACACCGTACCCATCCTGATCGCCTTGCTTTTTACTTGGTTCATTATCCTCTTCCTACTTCCTCTCTCTTCCTTGCTTCCTCCCCCTGCCCCCCCGATCCCTTGCCCCCCACTCCCCCCTCCCACGCGCCTCTCTCATCCATCCTCTCATCCGCCTTCACCCCGCCCCGTCCCTCGCGCGTCGGCCCTTTCCCCAGGTCTGCCGCATCGCCAGCGGCGTCAGCTCCCGCCCCTCCTCCCGCCCCTTCCTTCCGCCTGCGTCCCGCCCCTCCCCCCACCCCTTCGCACCCTGCCTCACCCCCTCCTTTCCTCACTCCCCTCCGCAGGGGCATAGTATCGCACCCTCGTGCCAGCGCCACCTGTCGTGGAGGGCACACTGTCAAGGAGGGCCGTCAGGGCGAAGGGGCACGGAAGTCGGCTGGATCTTAGTGGGGCGGGAGTTCGATGATTTCGCATCACGCTGTTCTTACGACAGGTGCAGCACGTTGCCGTCTTGTGGTTGCGCAGCTGGCCCGCAGTATCAGGGTCGGCGCAGCGGGGCTCGCAGTACCAGAGATTGTGGCGGCCCAGAAGAGGCATTTCGTTTACCCAGCACAGCCCTGTAGCTGCAGTGCAGGTGTAATAACAAAGCGGAGGCGCGCCGCCAGGTCCGCGGGCGGCTCTCTCGGGAGCGCTTCCAGCATGGCGCACATGTGCAACAAGTGTCCGTCCACGTCGTCGGCACCCACCCAGGAAGGCGAGGTCCATTTGTCCCGCACTGCGCTGGACTTTCTAGGAGCTCAGGAAAGTGACAGCAATTGAGGCAGCCAGCACCACACATCGAAGCGAGCTTCATGCTGAGGCCTGCATCGCCCCGCGCTCCCCCCGCGAAGCGCTCACGAACGTGGCGACGGTTGTGCCAGCGGCAACTCTTGCGAGGCGAGGTCTTGTTCTGGCCCACGCAGGTCCACAGCCGCTGGGCCTCGCAGGAACCCGCGCAAACAGTGACAGTTACGCGGTCGACAGCGCCAGCGAGGCGAGGTCTCGTTCGGGCCCCCGTAGGCCTGCATCCCGCCAGAGTTCCCAGGAGGTCACAAGGTGGCGACAGTTGCGCGCAGTTGGCACCCCCAGAGGACTCACAAAGTGGCGACAGTCGCGCGGGTGGCACGCACAGGAAGAGCGAGGGAGGCAACGAGCAACTCAAAAAGAAGCGAAGAGGTAACGAGGAGGAAACGAGGAGGAGGGAGGAAGGGAAGATGCGGGAGGAGAGGAGGGAGGACCAGAGGGGGGCGCGTTATATCCGAAACGAGCACCAAACGAAACGCAGGAGCGCTTGGGAAACACCAGCAACAGAAACCGTCGGGCCACGCAAGAGCAGGCCACGCTGCATGCTGTGTCCTCGGCGGGCGCCGGCCCCGCGGCGTGTTGGCGCGCGGATAGAGCACACGGGCTGGCAGGCTCAGGAGAAGGCGAGGCAATACGAGACCGAGACATACCACCTGAGACGCGCGCGGGCAGGCCAGAAGAAGGGCCACGCTCGTCGCACGCGAGTCAGCGACCCTGCACGCATCGTTCCGACAGCTCTGGGTTGAGCGAGTGCCTGTGATGCTTGGTGCGTCACCTCAGGGAGCCGATGGGACCCGCCGTCGTCACAGTTTTCAGGTGCGGGGGTGGGGAAAGCGCTTCAGCCAGCGTTGCTGACAGGGCCAGCGTCTTCGTTTAGCAGGCCGGGATGCGTGGCGCTGGGCTGCCGAGGACAGGCTTTGCTGACGCGCGCAGCGACTGGGAGGTCCAGCGCCGAGGTCAGGTCAGGTCAGTCGCCTTACACACGGCGGTGCGCAAGCAAGGCATGCGACAGTACAGAAACAAGCGTGCTGCCGCTGCCGCAGGCGGGCCCCTTGGCACCCCGGGCAGCGCAAACGCAGCAAACACGCGCTCTGCATTTGAAGGGGTCAAAGAGTGAAGGCACACGTGGCCAGGTGGGCCAAGCTGAAGTATGAGCCTTTGAGACAAGGCACCATGACATCATTCGTCTCTGGGCAGTTTGTTCATGCTTTCTGTTTTCCGCAGGGGGAGGCGATTCGTTACATTTCCGCAGCCCCGTGCGGTGCTGCGCCACACGGCCTGCTCCCTCTCCCTCCTTCCTCGTTCTTCGCTTGATTCCCTTGCACCACGATGCCTGGGCAATAATTAGCTTTTGGTGTCACCAGTTGAATTCGGTTTTAGGTGTGTGGCGGCATTCGCGTTTTGAAGCCTGCTCTCGTGGCTTGCGGTCCGCTCCGCCGGTTTGCACCCGTTTGCACCACCACTGGTGCACGGGGAGAGGCGCACGTTCCATCACCCCACGCTTTCGGCCATTCGTTCTGGCCACAGCGCTCTCTGCGCCTTGAGCGCAGTGTGTCAGCCGCCGTGGCCGGCGTGCTCCACAGCAGCCATCTTTCCGACTTGACGGTGGTTTTCCCGCCTCTCACAGATGTTTTGTATTATCATTCCCAGGGTTCCTTTGCATATTGGCTCGTTTTAGATCCCTCTCACTCTCATATTTCATCCGTGTGAATGATGTGTCGTTGCACCAAGGAAGGCGTTGTCCATTTCTCCCAGCCTGTAGCCGACACGAGGGCTGGAGCCGTGATTTAACAATCCTTCTAATGCTAATTGTTTTTCTGCATCGCCACTTCCCCTTGGGAGCTATCTCAGCCCTTCAACGTGCTTTAGTCGCAAACGCACACGCGTGCACACATCAGTTTACCAGCGGCGGAAGGGAGAAGCATCGCCCCCCAATGGCCCATCCGTCGCCGATCATGACTTGTGCGCCGCACCGGCTTCGCGCCGTTGGAGGCTCTTGTCGATCTACCGGCGACGCATCGCCGATGGCAGGCCGATGCTCCCCACCCCCCCCGAGCTGCCTCCACCCCCCCGTTCGCCATCCCTGGGTCCTAGGCCTTGGGGCCTTCCCCGGCTCTTCACCCTGATCAGTCGTTTTCTGACGGCCCATGGAGCCCGAGGAGGGCCCCCTGAGCCCCTGGTCCCGAGAACATCCAACAAACTTCAGGCCCGGCCCCTTTCCCTCAAGCCCTCGGTTGGGTCTCGCGCGCGCAGGGGCAAGCCGTCCTCGGAGCCTGCTGGGCGGCTCGCACCCGCGTGGCGGCCGCCGGCCCGCCCGCAGTTGTCCGCACTGCGGCGGGTCCATCCAGGCAGCGTTCCAGTTCTGCCCCCAGTGCGGCAACGAGCTGGACTTCTCGATGGTCGCACGCAGGGAGGCCAGCCGCGGCCGCGCGCCCTGGGGGGGGGGGGGCGGCCGTCGCCGACCTCCACCTCCTCCCCGCTCCTGCGCCTGCTCCTCCTCCTGCTCCTCCTCCTCCTCCTCCCGCTCCTCCTCGGCCTTCCTCCCTCTGGCCATGCTCCTCTTCGTCCGCCTCTTCCTGCGGCTCCAATGGGTTCTAGAGATTTCCGGATCTGTACACATCTACACTCTTGGGGGAGGCCGCCGCACGGTCGGGTTTCACGAGGAAGCGGGGAATGCGGTTGAGGATGCAGAGGGGGCCCAGAATTCAAACGTATTTCCCGCCCAACGGTCCTTCGCCGGACCCCCGGGTCGTCAGAAGACGGCTCGGGACGGAGAGACCATTCCCACGGAGACGGTCGGGCTTTCCAGCAATCACGCGTTAAAAAACAGGGTGCGGGAGTGAAGACTCTCATTGACGCACGCGCGTCGTCTTTCAACATTGCGCGCGTTGCTCGATCGCCTTATGAGTAACAGTCTGGCACGTCTTTGTCACTAGCACTCCGATGGGGTCGCCCGACCAGAGTAATTCCCTACCTAGGCTCTGCCTGGAAGGGTTCTTACCCTGTATGCTTAAAGGGCCGGGCAGTGCTCCCCGCCCCGGGCGGTTCCCCCAGGATCCGCCCCGCGGTTCCCCCCAGTTGCGCCCCTTGGGTTCACCCAGCTTAGCTTAGCTAAGCTTAGCTTAGCTTAGCTTAGCTCATATTAGCTTGGCTTAGCTTAGCTTAGCCTATATCATCTTAGCTTAGCTTAGCTGAGCTTAGCTTATATCATGTTGGCTTAGTTTAACTTAACTTAGCTTAGCTTAGCTTGGCTTGGCTTGGCTTGGCTTGGTTTGGCTTGGCTTGGCTTGGCTTAGCTTAGCCTAGCCTAGCCTAGCTTAGCTTCGCTCAGCTTAGCTTAGCGTAGCATAGCTTAGCTTACCTAAGCTTAGCGCAGCGCAGCATAGCACAGCGCAGCATTAGCACAGCATAGCATAGCATAGCCAAGCATATCATAGCATAACATAGAGTGGCTCAGCATAGTATAGCATAGCATGACATAGCATATCATAACATAGCACAACATAATATAGCATATCATAGCAGTGTTTAGCATAGCACATCGCAGCACAGCATATCATAACACAACAACGCATAGCATAGCATATCATAGCGCAGTATAGCATAGCATAGTATAGCGCGTCATAGCATGTCATAGCATCGCCTAGCATAGCATTGCATAGCGCAGCATAGCATAGCATATCATAGCGCAACATAGCATCGCATAGCATAGCATAGCGCAGCATAGCATAGCATATCATAGCCTAGCATAGCACAGCCTAGCATAGCGCAGCCTAGCATAGCGTAGGTGTAGCTGTATATGTGAGTCTCGCTGTTGATGTTGATGAAGATGTAGATGCAGGTGTATATGTAAATGTAGCTGTCGGTGTAGATGTAGATGCTTGTTTCCTAAATGCGCCAACTCCTAGGCAGGGTCGCACTGGGATGATATTGATAGTATGGCTGGGGCACTGACAAGCAACGTGTCCTGAGGGAATCGGGTCCTGGCAGCTTTCCCCAGGACCGGTGCTCATCCTGAGTGCTCTCTGACTGCCCTGGGCCCGCGGAAGGGCCCGGGAGGCACAACACGGCGGAAAGCTTCAGGGCCCGCCTGTTTTCAGGACCCGCTGTTCCTCCACGACAATCAGGAGGAAAAGAAACACACAGACACAATTAATCCTCGATTCCCCAGAACATATGGGAAAATATGGGAAGTGGGGGGGAAGACAGAAACCCAGAACATATGGGGGATACTTTTATGTGTGTGTATTTATTTGTGTGTCCCAGTTCCCCTTCAGACAAGTTGACTGTTGCTCTCCGACTGCCTCAAGATCCTCTCTGGCAGAAGCAGCAGCAGGCAGCCAACGGGAGCGGAGATCGTGGACGGGAGCCCGCCGGGCCAGCCGCGCGGAGCGGAGGGCGGCCGCCGCCAGGACGACTGAGGGCGCCGGGCGGGCCGCCCGTCCAGGAGCGCGGCCGGTGGGGATTCCAGGGGCAACGTCAGGGGGGGATGGGCTCAGGGGGGGGGCGGCATCTCGAGTCCAGCCCAGTGGCCGAGACGGCGCATGTCTAGAGAAGCGCCCACGGCGGTCGTCAGTTCGGCCTGAGAGCTTCGTCGAGACGACAGGGACGTCGCCTGGGTCGCAGAACTCCGCTCGCGAAGACGGAAGCAATCGCCGATTCAGCTCCAACGCTTCTTCGTCAGAGCGAGAGGAGCCGTCAACTCGGCCCCGAGCCGCCCATCGATGGCCAAGAAGGGCCGAACAGCGCACCCCGCCCAGGAGCGTGCGGCTTCGCTCTCGGGGACCTGTCGCCGATCTATCGGCGATGTACACCTTAGACGATGCTTAAGAAAACTCAAGTTTTCGGCCAGAGTCTCGATTATTCTTAACGTTTCAATGTAAGTCCTAAGATTTGAATAGAAATGTTGGGTTTTTATTGAAGTTCTGAGACTATGAATTTCTGAACCCATGAGTTCTTAAGCATTTCGCAGGGTGTATCGCTGATTTCAAGCCGAGGCTTCCCACCATGAGCCGGTCCCCCCTCCCTTGTCCCTGGCGGGCGGAGGGCTTGCCTGGCAGGCCCCGGATCTGGTCACGCCGCGGCGTATGAACCGCCCAGGCGCGCGGTGCCCGAGCTCCCCGCTCCCACGGCGCTCCCGTGCCTCTCCTCCATCTGCAAGGGCTCCCTCGAGGGCGCGAAGTTATTCGCGCTTCGCGCTTCGCGGTCCTCGTTCCTTATCCCCCTCCTCCTCGTCCTCCTATTCTCCCTTTGGGAGGGCGGCGCGAGAGCGCGAAGTTATTCGCGCTTCGCGCTTCGCGCAGCGCGAAGCGCGAAGTTGGGAGCCCTTGCATTTGCTCCCCCGCGCTTGCCCCCCCTCCTGCAGACCAGGCGCCATTGGTGGGGCTGCGGTCCTGGCCCCACTGGGGTGCCGCGCCGTTGCGGCAGCTTTTTCCGGAGAGGTCGTCGACGCGAGTGGGTTCCCCCACGGGTGGGGAGGGTGCGAAAAGCGCAGCTCCCCCATGTGCGGCTGGTCGATGCTGCCTCTCCTGCCTGCCCCCCCCCCGCCCCACCCCATCGTTCCCGCCATACACCTTAGGCGATGCTTAAGAAAGCCTAAGCTTTCGTCCAGGATCTCGATTATTCTTAACTTTTCAATGTGAATCCCAAGATTTGTGATAGAAGTTCTGGGTTTTATTCAATTTCTGAGACTATGAATTTCTTAACCCATGATTTCTGAAGCATTTCGCAGGGTGTATTCTTCCTCCTGTCTCCTGCCTCCTTGTCCCCCATGGGCCGCGCCGCAGTTTTCCGGATGGCACCGGCGGGCACCGGCAGGCCACCGCAGTATGGTCGTTAGCCTTCGAGGCCTTGCGGCGGCAGGCTCCTGCGGCTCAGCACAGACTGGTCTCTGGGTCTCTCTTCTGCCCCTTCTCGACTCTCCATGCTCTCCCAGCTCCCCTCCTCCCTCTTCTCCCTGCCCTTCCTCGAGCCGTCCTCCTCCTCCTCTTCTATTTCCCATGCCGAGGAACGTTTGTGACACACTTGGCAGCAGATACCCTCATGCCAGCAGGAGATGCACACGTGAGAGAACACGGCAATGCGAGCAATCACACGGCGGGCAAATGTAAGAACCGATCACACATGCACAAGCAAAATCAGTACAGCAAGGGAGGGGCGGGGCGTTGCGCGAATGGGCACGCCTGGCGGCCCGCCTCCTCCTCCTCCTCCTCCTCCTCTTCCTCCTCCTCCTCCTCCTCCTCCTCCTCCTCCTCCCTCGCGATCTGAGTCGCACTGTGCTCCAGCATCTCTGGAGTGAGGCCGAAGCGGGCCGCCGCTCGGGCGAGGCTCCACTTCTCTGTAGTGCAGCAGTCTCCCCTCGGCCCACTCCACGACGTCATCGGCGACGACCCACCGACTCCCGCCGAATTGTGGAGGAGGAAGGCACCAGAGAGGCCGAGGACCTGGACGTCGAAAGGGGAGGATGGACGGGGCCTCCTGAGCGTCCACCTCCTACATTGGGGGACCACGAGGGGAAGAGGCCCCGAGAAGCTCTGGACAACTGCCGGCGCCGACCCTTGGTGGTCGGGCGATGAGGGCACACCTGCCCCAAACTCCTGAGGACTCCCCAGCCGTACCCTCCGCAGGAGGTGCAAGAGAGGACGGCACCACCACCGTAATTAGAGGGGGACGCCATCTGGCCCCTCAGCTCCAGTTTTTGAGAGCGACCGAGCAGCAGGTGAGGCGAGGACGCCGAGCTCCGCAGGGCACCCAGGCGCAGCGCAAGGACGGGCACCCCCCACAGCTCTCGGCGGGGGCAGCTGCTCCGGCCCGGGGGGTCCACGGGCGCAGAGGTTTCCCGCCCAGGAGTTCGTCCGCATCGCGGATCTTCTTGTCCGCTATGTACACCTTAGGCGATGCTTAAGAAAGCTTGAGTTTTCGGCCAGGGTCTCGATTATTCTCAATGTTCCAATGTAAATCTCAAGATTTTGATAGAACTGCTGGGTTTTTACTCAAGTTCTGAGCCTATGAATTTCTTAACCCATGATTTCTCAAGCATTTCGCAGGGTGTATGTAGGCCTCCTGCGCGCAAGCCCACCCTGACCCAGCCTGGCGGGCGATCGGACCGAAGACCTTCGCTTATGTGGCACTTGGCGCCGAGCTTCGCGAGGCGGTCGACGTGATCCGACCCTAACTTGTACATCCGGGTTGTCCTGCCCTCGGCCACATCAGTCCACGCGGCATGTGCCATCGCCTTGACCGAGGGGGGCGGAAGGTCATCAAATTCATGCGATATTCGAGCCCACAAGTGGGCTCGACTGCAAGAACTACTCTGGGAAAAGGCCGGGTCTCTCAGGCAATTGAGGGTGGCCTTGCAATCAGTGTGAAAAAGGTGGAACCGAACGTTTGCACACAACCTCTTGCCGCCGACATATAGACAGCGTAGTCCTCGCCGTCTCGGGCCGATTGTAGGGTGGCAATATCAAGGGGGATTGCCCGATGGCAGCCAGCCACGAAGGTGCCAGCATCATCTACTTGGACCAGCCCCCACTTCGCCCTCGAAAGGAGGGGGCCGACAGGGTCGGCGGCCGATCCATCTGAGAAGATGTTGCCAACTAGCTGCACATCTTCGGGCCTTTCGATCCAGTGAATGCCAGCCTGCGTCTGGAACAAGGGGGCGGGAGCCACAGACGAGAGGGAAGATCCCAGCGGCAAACTGATCGAGGTCTCGAACCCAACGTGCGGCGTTTGCTGCCCCATTCAGAAGCTTCGCGCTGCTTGCCGTCTGACGCTGAGTCGACCAAGCATCGCACTGAAAGCGTTTATGGAATAACATCACAGGAGCAGCCTTACACAGAGTGCACGAAGACAACGTGTACGACTTGTTGAACTGGCGCTCCTGGGCCCGGTGGCAGTGGGACACTACATTTCTGAGGGCCTCTTGCTGGTGGGCTCCCCAGCTGGTGGCGGTGGGCCCATTCATGAGGTCTCGAAGGGACTTCATGAGAATGGGGCGGGCCCAAATTTGCGAGGAGGCACGAGCCTTCAGCGCGCGGACGTCGGAGCAGGCAGCCACAGCCCAGAGCACAAGGATACTTGCAGAGGGGCCAAGGCAAGCAAGTCCAGCTCTCGGCCGTCAGACAACCGGACGCATCACGCATCGAGGGCCAGCCATCCGATCTCGCGCAGGGGACCGCAACCATTGCCAGGCACACCGGTGCTTTTCTCAAAGCCCGTCATAGACCCCACCAAGGGCTTGTTGGAGGTTGGCCAGGGTAGGCCGTCCTCTCCAAATCGCCTGAGTCTGACTTGCCTGTGATAGGCCGCCGGGGGGTCAAGCTGTTGGCCTGTGACGAACGTGTACAGCCGCAGCCCCACTGAAACTCCAATGGTATGAATCTGCCTATTGGTGAGCACCGTGACCGCCGCGCCCCACAGCGCACAAGCTTGTGAGCCAGCTCGTTGGATGTTGTGAACCCGTTCTCCAGCGCGTCGAAGCTGCTTGAGCCTCCAAATCCTCTTGGTACCTTCCTGAAGGCGGCTGGCAAGAGTCTTAGTTCTACGGGTCCTGGAACAAGTGTCATCCGAACCCCAACTCTTAGCAGACATCTTTTTCTTGAGCCCTCGGTGGGCCCACTGCTTGGCCAACTGAGAGGCCAGCTCTGTGGAGGAGGCTATGAAGTGCGATGTCTCCCCTGACAGGACAAGTTCTAGTCGAGCGTAGACCTCGGCCACTCATTTCCAACCTCCCCGAGCTCCTTGGCAACCATCGAGGGGCTGCCAACGCGTTGCATGTGTACATAATCCATGACATCCCGGCCTCATACATGGGGGTGGCGCTCATGAACGGCGAGGAGGAGATGATGCAATCTAATGTTCGATAGGTTGGACGCCAGACTGCGTCCGGCCAGGATCGTGCCGCTCGCTCGAAACAAATTGTTGACCGCCGTCTGAACGTTGATGACGCGAGGCCCCGAATAGAGCTTGCACTCAGCAGATACGAGACGGAGCGGCATCTGGGTGGCCATCGTTTCTCGCATGACCATCCTCGACCCTCCCTCCTCTCCCTACCCCCTCTCTCCCTCCGCGCTCTCCCAGCCTGCGCCCACCAACTTTTCCTCGCTCCTCCTGCCCTGAACCCGCCTCATCTCCTCCCCCTCCTCCCCCGTCATCCCCCTCCCAGGGCCCTCGCAGCCTGGCAACTCCCCAGAGGGAGCCGCGGACCTCACCATTTCTCAGATCTCCACGCGCGTGCGCGGCGCTGCCGGCGGCGCTGCTGGCTGGCACTGCCGGCCCGCCAGCGCCGCGAGCCTTCCGCCCGGGCGGGAGCAGCTAGGGCCGAGTTCGCCGCTGGTAAAACGGAGCCGGCCTGCGTGGGCGCGCAGGAGGGACGGGGCCCACGGAGGAGGACGGGTCTTTGATTTTGTGTTTGCAGTTCTCGGCCCCAGAGGCCCTCCACGGGCCCCAGCACCGACGGAAACGGCTCGGGATGAAAAGCTGGTCCAGGGAAAAGCCTAAGGTTCTAGGACTCGTTGCCCTCAGGACCTCTTCCTCAAGCGGTGGCGAACGAACTTGCGAAGCAATCAGGGCCCTTTGTCCTCGAGGGCTCTTTTCCTTCGTGTTAGTTGCCCCTCAGATATAAGGTCCATGTTGGTTTCGGAAGGGGCCTCGATGTTCCCTGGGTCCTTCCATTCCTGGTTACATTTGGCCTTCTTCGTGACAGCATTGGGGCGTCATCATTCAGAGTGGTGTGACGCCCGCGCCTCCCTCACGCATCTCTCTCTCAGACCCATTTATGTTCAGTAGACTCATTTCTGATTCATTTTTAGACTCACTCTTCACTCTGGCTCAGTCATACTCGACCTTGCACATGCACTCATATACGCATACACTCAGACTCACTCACACTCAGATTCACTGATGCTCAGGCCAACTCATATTCATACCCACTCATGCTCAGACTCGCTTACATCTGGGCTCACCCAGACTCAGATGTATTCTCATCATCCTAAGTATTAGATGTTGTTTCTCATAGGCTTGGCATGGACGTGGTATGGCTGATGAGCCGAGCATCCGGAAGGACGCGTGGTCAGAAGGGTGCACGATTTGTAGATCTGCGTGGCAATACAAGGAACACCTTGCTGAGTGTTAGCGTGCCCGCAGAGGCTCGACTGTGAAGCAGAAAACGCAGCGCATCACGACTGCGAAGCAGAACACAAGAGAGCGGGAAGGGGGGGACGAGGAGCGGGCGGAGTGGAGTTACACGCAAGACACATCGTACATTGAAGTCGCGCATTGCTGTCGTGGGCGCCCTCGTTTCCGGCGGCGTGCCCAGTTTATGGGAATGTCGTCCGCATCGAGTTTATGTAATTTCGTATTTCCTCATTGACGCGTAGACCCATATCCGGTCCAATTGTTTGAAAGTTTTTGTCGTTTCCCCAGTCGTTTGGTCACCTCCGTCGTCGTGTTCCCGTCGCACGTGATAAGCCCTCCGAGGTAGATGGCTTCGTGGGCTGTTTTGATCGGCTCGCCAGTCGGCCTGGAAATCGTGTTGTCTGTTGAATTTTTCATGTGAATTGGTTTGTGCAAGTGTAAGTCCAGTCCAATTCCAGTCGGATTTGTTTGAGCATGCACGATTATTGTTCTTCCTAGTCTCCAACATGGCGGGTGGGTTATTCGAGAGGTGTACGCCATTCCGCCGATCAATGAAAGGTGGACGGGCGAATGCATTTATTTAATCGCTTCGCTCATTCCGCCGGCCCATATTGCGCACCGCGGTGGCCTGGCCGAGAGGTCGTCGGCACTGTGGAGCTGCTGGGAGCGGCGGCCGCAAAACGTTTCCAGAGGTTTTCAAGAGGCTTCAAAACAGCTTCAGAGCGCCTCAGGACAGCCCAAGAGAGCCCCAAGACGGCCCAAGGAGGGCCTCACAGAGTTTCAGAGCTTCCCAGGAGAGGCGCAAGGAGGCCACAGGAGGCTCCCAAGAGGGCCCCAAGAGTGCCCCAAGCAGGCCCAAGCCCCCCAAGACGGACCCAGAGAGCCCTGGGACGGCTCCAGAGGGCCCGAAAACGGCCGTGAAGATTCTGAAGAAGCCCCGAAGAGGCTTTCAAAGATGCATCCAAGAGCTTTTTCCGAACTCTGATCAACAAGGCCCCGAAGGTTTTGGGTGCGAGGAGGAGGAGGCGAGAATGAGGAGGAGGAAGGTGGATGAGCATGAGGAAGAGGAAGAGGCCTCTCGATGGCTCCTTGAAGCATTGTGGGGCCAAACTTGGTCGTGGAGAAGGTGCCTCCATGGGGCCTCTTGGGAGCCTCTTCGAAGCTTCTTGGGAGCCTCTGGGGGGCCTCTTGGGGCCTCTTGAGGGCCTTTGGGGGGCCTCCGTGGGCCTATTGAAGGCGTGTCGGCGGCCTCTTGGAGCCTCCTGGGGACCTCTCCGGGCCAAAAGCTCGAAATGTCCGTTCGGGTGCCTTGTCTGGGCTCGCTTTTAGAGCCGTCTTGGAGGCGTCTTGGACCATCCTGGAAATCTCTGGGACTGTCTTAGAGCCCTCTTGGGCTTATCTTGGTGGCTTGTTGGGCCGTCTTGGGGCGATCTTGCGGGCCTCTTGGCCACGTTTGGACGCTGTGAACCCCAGACGTCGTATATGCGAAACGTATACGTTGTCCCGAGGGAATGGGGCGATTTTTGCTTGTTGGAGCCCTCTTGGAGAGCCTCTTGAGGCTCTCTTGGGGCTTCTCGGCGGCCTCGAGGGCCGTATGAATGCCATCTTGGGCGTCTTGGACCGCTCGTTCGGTGACTCGGAGGGCTGTGGGGCTGTCTTGGAGGCCTCTTGGGGCCCTCTTGGCGCGCTCTGGGGGGCCTCAGAGACCACACCCAGGAGGAAAACCATCTCTGAGTAAAGGGTGGCTGGGCTGCGCCAGGGCGCCGGTCGGGGGGTACTTTTCGCCGGGGGACCCCCAGGAGCCGCCCCGCGCGCGCGAACCAGAAATATTGTTAACCAGTTACCGGGGATCTTAGCACGCCTCTGGCCCGTTGGGCCAGCGAATTACAAAGGCCTTACTGCTGGCTCCGCCAACCCTGAGAAGTGTAGTGTTTGGGCGCAAGAGGCGGAAGGGGGACGAGGGCTAAAAGAAATGTCAGCTTTAATTCGAGGGCAGCACATCCCGACTTTGCGCCTGGGTCGCGTTCCAGAGGTGTGGGGGACATTTGGGGCTTCTTGGGGGGCTCTACGCTGTAGGCACGCCTGGCCAGAGCGCGAGGCTCACGTATCAATGTCCTGCGTGGGGCTCCAGACTGGTCGAGATGAGACGATCATGACCTCCCAACGTATTTACCTTGACCTGACCGCGCCCTTCTCCTCGTCGTCCTCCTTCAGTCGGGCATCGAGAGAATACCCACCCACACAAGTCGAGCACCAGTTCGCTCGATATTGGCATCCACTGTGGGACGGTGCAGTCCCCAGCCGGTTTCGCTCATCAACGAGTTTGTTTGTCGGGTACGTCCGGTGATGAGTCGTTCGACGTAGATCGGTTCTTCTGCCGGGCTGCATTGGGAACGCGTCGCCGCGCGCACCCGTGAGGAGTTCCCAGCAGCGCTCGTGGAAGGGCATGGTGCTGAAATTCTCGGACCAATAGAGGAAAAATAACTATGCACATACACCGATTCTGGCCAGGCCCATCCTGAGCCCAGGATCGGTGCATACGCCCTGCTACCTTGGCCAGGAAGGCATATGCACCGATCCTGGGTCAAGGATGGGCCTTGCCAGGATCGGTGCATGTGCATAGTTCTCTTCGCCCGAACCAAGGGCTCGAGGGGGGGGGGGAGGGCGGCGGGTCGCCATGGCCGCAGAGGAGGCGGCGGCCCCGCCGCCGGAAGCCGAGAGGCCGCCCCTCCGCGGCGGCGCCCTCGCGAGGGCCCCGTGCAGGCCCCTCGGCGGCTTGTGGGAGGCCCTCGGCGGGCCCTCGGAGGGCCTCCTCGGCGGCCTTCGGGAATCCTTTGGTCCGGCCTCGCTCGGTGGCGTCATCGCCACCGCCACGCTTGGCTCGGGCCGGGCGAAAGGGGGGGATTGGGAAAGGGGGGGTTACGAAATTTGCTGCATGTAGCTGGTTTCGGCCTCACCGAGGGGCCCAGTCCTCGATACATGGCCGCTCCCGGCGCCGGGAGGCGCCGGGAAAATCAGCTACGTGAGCTGATTCTCAAACCCCCCCTTTGCTATCCCCCCCTTTCGCCCGACCCGAGCTTGGCGGCCACGTCTCGGGGAGCGACGACATCCGACGTTGTCTAGACGTTTTGGGGAGCCGTGTGCAGCTCGGTGTGGCAACGCGAACTGCTCGTGCGGAGCCTGTTTCGGCTCCCTTTCTCCGGAAGTTTCTTGTTCATGGCAAACTCTTCCTCGGGCAAGTGTTCCATTCCTCGGAAAGTTTTGCTCATGGGGAACTCTTCCTCGGGCAAGTCTTCCATTCCTCGGAAAGGCTGTCTCGGCGGTGTCAGGGCTCTGTGGGCCTTCCGGAGCACCCTCGTCGCCGCCTCGTGGCGGCGCCTTCGCGGGAGTGCGTGCGTAGTCGCCGAACCCGCCGATCGTCGAGGTTCGAGGTTGTTTGGACGTCAGCAGGGTTTTGTCGGGTTTCGTGGAGCGACCTCGTTCGTCGCCATGGTTAGTGTCGCCATCGACCACAACGCACCTCAGGTGGGGTATGACTCTCGCTCATCACCGGCCGAGCTTCGCGAACGGCCTCGGGACCCTTCTTCTTTGAAGCTGGAGATCCGAGGCGACAACGACAATGTCGTGCATTGGCTCAACGGTACTTGGCAATGCACGAACAGTCGATTACTAGGTCCTCTTCGTCGGGCACGGGAACGTCTTTACTCATCCTTCTGTAATGGATTCAGACCGGTAGAGGAGGGAGGGGATTTTGCACGACACGTTTACCGGGAGTTCAACAAGGAGGCAGATGCCATGGCGACCCGGGCAATCCATGTACCAGAAGCTTTTGGAGAAAACGTACCGGTCCCCAGGGAGGTTTTCTTCGACCCGGATGTCAAAATGGTGGGATCTTTTGACGGAGGAAAGCGGTCTGAGGAGTGGGGGCGGGATGGGTGGTGGAGTTCGTGACAGGCGCTGGCACACCCCACCGGTGGCGTGCACGATCGATACCCCTGGACCCGAAAGCGACCACAACAACTGCTGAGATGACGGCTGCTGCAGATCTGTGTGATTTCCTTTTCCAATTTAGTATTGCGATTGCGAACCCAAGCATG